TGGCATTGAACTGGGTCATGACGGCGAAATCCGATTGGACACACCACGGGCGATGATGCCCCACAGCTGATCTGCAAAGGGAGAAGTGTTGAGATGATTGACCAGAGAGCTCAGGACTTTAGGAACTTCACTTTAAAACTTGAAAAACCCAATCAGGGCACCTACCCGACAGTGGGTGTGGGACTTCCTGAGGTGGCACAGGCGTCGTGAGGTACTGGTTCTTTGCCTCGCGTACTGTGTTGTCGGCCTCAAGCGTTCCACAAGATCAGAGGGGGTCTGACTTCTACAAATGATTATGGTGCTGATTTGCATCTATTTTTTTGAGATGGCGCGCCCTTGTTCGATTCACAATTCACGAATATTGTTTGCGGCCTAGCGACCATTAAGGCCAAACTTTGTGGCATCGGTTGGCCCCTTGCCGTGCATATGCGCTGAACCTTGGCATCAGGCGCGGAACATAAGCGTCTTTTGTGGGACCTTTCCGGGTGAATGAAATAGTTCAAGCTTTGGCTTGAAACCAACTACTCAGTTCATTTGAGGGAAACCACTACTTGCAACTCTTTTGAAGCTGATCAAAGTACCTCCTCCAGGGTCTGAGATAGTATCTCGATAATGCAGCTGCTGTTGTGTCTGCCAGAATCATGGAGCACAAAGATGTTTAGGCAATATCCATGGGCCCAGGCTCAGGCACCATGTACTTTCAGCCGGGGGCGAATGTGCTTGGCCCTGGGATGATGGCTATGGTTCAATCTTTCTTGGGAAGGAACCTTTAGTGGACAATTTATGCTTTTGAGCAAAATCATCCAAGAATCAATGCCGCGCTGCGCCGCAGATTTGGATCTCTGGGCAGTGCAAACTTCGCTTGGTCTAAGCCGTCTGTAGACACTGCTAGGATGTCAGTGCTAGGATCAGCGGATTCAGCCTGTAGTCGCCAACAAACAGTTCGGTTGCAAAATTGGTCATGCAGGTGCTGTCGATATTGCTGCAATGCCCCCAGCTTCTGGTCAAAAGAAAGGGATTTGTCCCCAAGATCCTGCTTCCGTACTTGGCATACCTCACACTGTGTGAACAAGGTGCGGTCCCGGAATCGAAGGATGTCACGCCATCGACGTTCATAGACTCGTTTGAAGGTGGAATATACCTGGGCTATTTCAATGGGAGACATTTGTTAACAAGGTTGGTGTGTTTGGTTTGCAATTATATTGTAATTAGTATATGTTATACCAATATATATATATATACATATATCTTTCATTGAGAGCTATTGCACCTTTGATCAAAACAAACATGATTTGTCTTGGCTGTGGTGCGATGCTGCGTAGGTTCCCAGCATTTGCTGAGTGCTCTTGTAGTGTTCGTAAAGATCCATCACGTTGCCAGGCGGCAGGTATTTTGTCACTATGGCCTGATGAGGCAGGAGGTGGGTCAAATGCCCTGCCGGGGTGGTGGAGAGCCAGTCCCTCAACTCATCTGTATTTTCCACATCAGAATCAATTTGTTCCCGATCGGTATCGCGCTCATCATCATCCAAATCCCCAGGGGGTGTCATCTTTGAAGCACGGCCACGTCGTATGAACCTTGACATCCCAACAGTGGCCAACCAATGCTGTGAGTTTTCTGAACCAGTTGAGGCTTTCACACAAAAGTATCAAAATCTGGTGGATCAGAATTATGGATGGGATAGGGGTAGAGTTACCCTGCTTCGAACTAACTTGACTCTAAGAAACCTGTCGGGAAGGGTCTCAGCTACATTGTCGTAGCATACTTGCAGGAATCTATCTATGCTCCAGGTTCCAGGTTTGCTCCTGTACTCCTTAGCCCCAAATCTCAAATCTGGAGCCCCGCATTGTAGTTTGCGGAGACGGTGTTCCCCAATGCCTAACAGCACAGCAATGCACTTGACACCCATCTTCTTGTCCAAGAGTTGGCATCCTTGAGCAGTGCTTCCACACTGTTGCACCTTGGGCCGGGGAATCGTGATCCATCATTACAATACTTGTTCCATCTTTTTGGTGGTCTAGGATGTTCTATCGCCGGAAAGATTCAAACCTGTATGGAACCGGTAAAAGGAATAAGTGCAGCCTGAAGACTAGAGCATCCTGATCTCGCTTGTCAAGGCCCCAGAACTTCTGTAGAAATGTTGGGAGTTCTTTGGACTGAGAAAATTGCTGAAAGCATTCTTTCGAAGCACCTCAGCACAGTACCAACATACTTTGACAGTTGTTTTGTTTATATCCACATCCAGGGCTTACCCCAGCTGATTTTAAACATCCATGTCATACAAACATAGGAAAACCTTGTTTGTCACAACTAAGCCACAATGACAAGATGGGGCACCAAACAGCCGTCGCAACCGATTTGGATCCAGGCCGTTAGCTTTGTACGTACCCTGATTTTCTTTTCTAGCATACACCGCCTCTGCTGACCGCTTGCTATTATCATACGTCCGTTTGGGTTTGGATGTCCTCTCATCCATGTTTTCTTTCCAGAAGCTTCCTTTGACAAAGTGTTGGACAGCCTGCCACCCCAAAGCGAAAACAGTATCCTTTGGCTGGTATTCACCACCACTGCCATCCGAAGATGAAGCCACATCAGATTGACCCTCCTCCGGTTCATCTTGAAAAGGGATGGCTCTAGCCTGTGGTGTCTTTCGCTTTTTGTTTGCAGGAGGACGTTGGGACACAGGATCTTCCTCATCCCCTTCATCCTGAAAAGGAACAAACGCTTTTGATGAACGGGCTGGAACTTTGCCCCCGCCACGAACAGGCTCTGCAGGCTCAGGCTGAAAAGGGCCTGTTGTCACCACAGGCGGTCTCTGGCGATCAGGATCCCTCACACAATGCTTCAAGAAGCTAATCTTCCCGCTGCCACGTTCGGCAGGCTCATCTCCGAATGGAGGCATGCCAAGGCTTGGGCCCCGGCTGGTATTTAGATCCAGAGTGAGGGAAATCTACCAGATATCTACGAGAAGAAATATATGCAAAACATTGCAGAACATCAAAGTAGAATAGAGTATCAATCTCGCTTTGGCAGGAAACACACACACACACACACGCGCATTGCAATTTCTTTTCCCACATCGGCCATCAGTATCCCCATCTTTTTAGAATCTAATTAGGTTTGGTGCAGCTGGGGATTGAATTTGAGGCACCACACTAACTAATGCCTAGCAATCCTCTACAAAAAGAACCGTCATGAATAAGGTGAGGCCGGCAAAGGGAAGCGACATGCCATTGCCGGCCATTTCACGTAGGGCTTTGTCTCGCACATCTTCAGTCTTCACTGGATCCTTGCAAGGACAACCATATATTTTCAATTGACCCTATGTGACCCTACGTGACCCTTCAGCAGCGTACCATAGAAGTTCCGACTTGCAGGTGAGATTCCACACAGGCAGCCGCAGCGCCTGGCCCCCAGCAAGGATACCCCAACACGTGAAGTTGCTCCCTTCCGGTCATAGTGCGCTGCTCCACCTCTGACCTTGGGATTGTTGCTGAATCGTCATGTGGATTGCATGCCACGCGCTGGTGACTGATGCCCTCAAAAGAGTCACAATATTGTGATATCACACCCTTTCAGCATTGGCTACACCAAGCAAAATTCATATACAATGCAGCCATGCATAGATGCACCCGGTAGGTTGGGCTAAAGCCAGTACTTCAAGTGATGTTTGGAATTATTCAAGAACTTTGTGAGAAGCTGAATCATCTTGAGGCAAGGAACGCCCTTTGCCCATCGGGCCTGGATCGAGCAACTGCGGCCTTCTTGGAGCTCCGTGCATCCTGTTCAGCAAGTGCGCCGTGAGTAAATAGTTCCCAAACCACAAACCACAAACCCATGGAATTTTACTATATGGTAGAGTACCCTGTTTCTTTTCACATGGCAGGTATGGAAAGAAGGAGGGCTTCAGGAACCATGTTCTGAAGCAAGTTCATGATGTGGGAACCCGTTTTCAGCAAAGAACCGATCTTTCTATCCATGAGAACGTGCTTGAATATGAAGAGGCGGGGCCCGCGCTGGGGCTTCCTTCAAAAGCCTGAACTCTTTATGAGTGGCATACGACACAATTATTGCCCAACATCCCTGATTGCTTTTGATGTTTTTTTGGTGAGGAATATTTGGATGAACATCTCAAGACCCATGAGCGTCAAAGCGTCAAGCCCTGTCCTGAGCAAGTATTCTTGAGCAAGCTGTCCTCAGCCAGCGCGTGGAGTGAGTGGATATGGGTAGATTGTTTTTTGGGTTTATCCATTGCTGGGGCCTGAGGTTAGATCCGAGGCAATTTGGACATCCAAACTCCCGCCCGCGGTCGTGGCGAATCTGCTATCGCCAGGGGAAGAAGCGTTGGGCTAGCAAGTCTTCCTTGCAAGAGTTGGCTGACCAAATACTGGCCTCAATGACTTCTGAACTGAAGCTAGACTATTCCTGCTACCTGATTGATGACCAAAACAGCCTGGGCGCTACTACAGAATCTTCTCTGACAGAGTTCCTTAGGAGCAGTGAATCTACCCTGTTTTTCTATGTTGTATCTAAGCCACACCCTGTGTTCCAAGTTTTCTATGACTTCTATGCGTTGGTTTCTTCAGCTACTCGATCCCTGCTCGCTCGTTGCCTGAGGTCCCAGGCTTCCCATCTTCAAATGTTCCGCGCTACGTGCCCGAATCACGAGCTCTATGACCTTTCAGCCAACGTGCACAAGCGGAGGAGGGTAGAGTTGAAGAAGAGGACTGGGATGGTGAGTGAGAAACCCCAAGACCTAGAAATCCAAAACGCGAGCTTTGGAGATGTCCAATGGTGCTTGCAGGATGTTTCCATGCCTTACAACAAGCTCCTATTCCTGGGTGGTTAGCGGGCCGTATCGTTAAAGAGACAGGGCGCATGACAGAGCACACGACACACCACTCAACCAAAGCACATCTTCTCGTGTTGATGGCAAACGCTTCCCTCACCAAAGTCAATTTCGATGGAACCCACATGTCAGTCTTGGGCTTGTTTGCCACTAGCTCCAAGATGTCAGAGAAGTGGCAGCTCTGTGGATACTCTTTTGTGGTCAAGGCTGTGCAGGCCTTGTTCTTTTCAACCTTAGATCTAGGGAAAAAGTCAATGAGAACCAACACCAACAACAGAAAGCACATGCGAGAGCACTGGAAATATCTGATAACACAAAATTGCCTTGTGTGTGTTTTCATGTTCTTGCATCTTTCCAAGCAAGTGGCATTGAAGCTGAATTTCAAACCTGCCTTCACACCCCACATTTCCATCGCGGCCGATTCGATCATTGACCACGCCTTCCGCAAACAAAGAGCCCCTCCGAACAGGTCAAAGCACGACCATGATCCTGAGTGGTGAGTGGGCCAGCACGCGTTCTGGTGGATGGGATTGAAGTTGGAGGTGACGCAGTTCTTTGATTTGCTTTTGTTTTTGCCACTGGGTTAGAATTTCAGGATCCTGATTTATCGAGTCCACTGGTGAGAATGGACACAATAAGTCAGAATGTTGATCTTGTGTTGCCACGTGATTGGAAGATCTGGTGGACTCGGCCAAGGCTCGAAGTTTCTTGATCACAAAACCTTGTCCGAAATAAAGCTGCAGCTCGTTGAAGCAGGGTAAAGGCCCACCGCCTAAGATCACTGTTGGACATGGACGGACTCCCAAGTATTGTTCACCCAAATGCTCATAGACTTTGTGTGTGTGTGGAACCAATGAAGCCAGTATACATGTATACCTATAGTAGTACCTATAGAAATGTAGTAAATGCAACCCTGATGCGATAGCTCTGGCGCAGACTTTGGCATTGGATATGGATCCAAAGGAGGCCTCAAAAGCGAGACGATGAGACAGCTCAGATTTGAAACTATTGAGCCGCGCTGCCAGTCAAAAAAATTCAAATGGACACCCCCAGGATGGCATCCAAGGTACACAACCACTTCCAAATCATCTTGTGCTGAACCAGCAGCAGACTTCATGGCTGCCGGACGCTTTTGGGCAGGTATCCTCCGCCCATTCAACAAGGCAGCCAGATCCATGTTGATCTAGCACCAAGCGTCTATGACACCCAGAGCCAACAACGAAATCTAGCGGCGACGCGAATGAAGCCATGTTGAACATTCCAAAAAGGAATCCAGCTCCTGTGTCTAAATCAGGGCTTGAAAGAAAAAACGTCCAACTATTTCCAAACTACAGCCACAGTGGGAACCACTGTTAAGAACCATCAAGTAATGGCTTTAGATTGGCTTTAGCCGACCTGGGGGGTGGGTGGACGGATCGACCTGGGGGATGGGTGAACCAAAGGAATAGAAGGGTAAAGAGAAACAGAATGAAGCAGCACCAAAACCACAAGTGCCAGTATCAGCTCTGCTGTGCGCCAATCACTGCATTACAAAGCTCTGGGGGTTGGCACCTCGTCGAAACTGCATTTGTGTTCCTGTGTCCTGCAATGGCAGCAGAATGCTAGCGCTCAATATACCAGTAGACTAGTGGATACTAGTGGCAAATCATTGGTTCCACAGACATTCTCCTAGATTATCTTGCTGTGTGTGAGGTGAACATCGCAATTGGTTTCTTAAGACTGAAATCCATTTCCTTCCATAGCCCCAAGTCCTGGTCCAGTGTTCTGTTTGAAGTGGGCAAAGGCCACAATGTGCAGCGGTGCACCTGAGTGGTCGCCCCCCCCCCCAACCACCTACTACATTGCATGGTGCCAGGATTTTGGAAAAGGTATTTTCTTTTCCCCAGTCAATTGTTGATCAACATTGGCATGCCCCATTCAGTCCACGCCCACTTCTGTGAAACCTAGCAGTTCTGAATTGAACTCATGTCGTAGATATAAAACGATAAAAGATATTCTTGCGCAATTGTGTTTGCCCTTTTTCTGGCACCTTCACACCCACCTGAGCACTTATTTTTGTTTTGCCAAGTGTTGATGCATGCTTAATGCATGATCTGGGTGGGCAGGGTGGGACCATTGTTGGTTGTGGAGCTGTGTTGAAGCCACTCCATCACCTGGCTTTTGGTAGTGGAGCTGTGTTCCAACTCCAACTGCATGTACTCTTTTTAGTAGCTGGGCTGGCTTCTGACCAAAGCCAAAAGCCATGAATATAGAGCCAGTTGCCATGAATATAACTTATTTGCACTTCGAGGTTTACAAAGTACTGCGCCTGCCACGAAATAGGCACTTCGAGGTTCACCAAGTGCTGTGCTTGCCATGAAATCTGCACATCGAGGTTCACCAAGTGCTGTGCCTGCCACGAAATCTGCACTTCGAGGTTCACAAAGTGCTGTGCCTGCCACGAAATCTGCACTTCGAGGTTCCACTCTTACTCACACACTCACTCACGCTCACGCTCACACTCACACTCACTCTCCCTCTCACTCTCACGCACACTCACTCACCACCACCGCCACCGTCACCACGATCCCCACCTTCATCACCACCATCACCTCTCTGGCCCCCAACGCGTCTAGATCTCTAGACTGTCTGCTTGTAGACCTCACGCACACTGTTTGGGGTCTCTTGCCGGGGTAATGACTCTTTTTTATGGGGTCTTTAGGCCCGATGTCCAAGAGGTTCTTGCTGGGGGTTTCCAGAAAACCCGCCACCTTGGAGGGGTTGTGATTCAGTATGTTTGGATATGTGTTGACCTAGCTTACCTGGCTGGGAGGACATGACGAGAGCTTAGGCTCTTGGCCAATGTCACACTTGACAATAAATGATCAAAAAACATCCATAAACTATCATACATTGTCTATCTCACTGCTTCCACCGCATGCAAAGGTCAGTTCGAGATCGATGATCACCCAGAAGGAGAAGGTTGAAGGACAAGGTCAGCAGCTGTCATCACAAAGACATACACCAGTGCCAAGCATGTCATGTGGGAGTGGCATGAGGCACACAACAAAGCAAAGATTGAAGCACTGCAGTCACAAGGAAAAAAATAACGCATCTCCTCTGCTAATTGCATCTCTTGCTCTCACATTTTTCCCTCCACCTTTTCACCATATAGGCCTACGAATGAATAAGACCGCCACATCGAATCTAACTCATTCTTATCCTTATGAGTGACCCCCCTGGCATTGAGAATATGCATTGTCTTTAACCTAGTTCCGAACAAGCAAATCCAAGAATGGCTGCATTGTTTGTTGGTGTTGCGGGTTGTGCAATGTCAGTGCTGTATGGGGAGAGGAGGGAAGGCTTCATAAGGATTCGTGAACAATCATTCGATCTGCTCAACCATTGCATTGCATCACCATGCATCCTTGAACCCTTCGCGTGCCCTTCTCGCACAGAACGGACCCTCTGAACTCCTAGCAGGATGATCGCTGCCAGCCTCCGCAGGCCAGTGGCTGCCTGAGGGGATGACCGCTGCGAGCTCAAATTCAGTGTCGCATCACATACTTGCTGATTGCATCTTGTACCAGGATATACCAGGACCCTCGGACCATCTCGTATCTTTCTTTTCGGAGGAGTGAGAAGTCACGACGTCCCTCTCTTCAGATCCACCCCACTTTTGAGGCCCAACCTGACCTTTCTTGTAAGTGCATTCCTTAAGCGTCGCTCTGTGTTCTTAGCTCAGGGATCCCTTGATTTCCATATGGGACAGGCATATATATATATATATACCACATATATATATATATATATTCACCACAAAGATATTGTTCAGCTACATTGAATTACATTGGAGTCGTTTGGGGGTCCCTAGTTCGATAGTGGGCTTAAGCCTAGAACCCACGGATTAGCGTTAATTGTTGTGCGCGGTGTGGTCCACCTCCAGAAACGTGAGATCTGGGCGGAGCCCTGGCGCCCTGGCTCTATGGTAGAATTTTGCAGCCACTGGTCGATCAGTACGGCATTGACCGGTGTTTGGGAGGCATCAAAGCTGGTGTAGGAGCTCTTCTTCTCAATAAAAACCACATATGTTTATATATGTTATAAATGTAACAAAACACCGATCCGTCGTTCGTCCGGTGTTCCGTCCTGTTTAGTCCTGTTGGAGTTCATTCAAAGGGGTGGTGGACTTCGGAAGTGTTTGCCACACTCCTTGATTGGGTGAGTCTACCAGGAGCCTCACTGCCACGTCTTGAGTTGAGGGTTGCTGGGCCGTAACAAGTCTCACTTGGTGACAAGTTGTTTGGAACTTCAGGCAGCAGCTATCAAGGGCATGGGATTGTCAACAAAGGAATCATCGGACGTTTTGGTGAGCCTGTCTCCATCCCAAATCCAATCCTTGCCGTTGTTGTTGCTGGAGTGAGCCCTACTACTTTTGAGATCTTTTGAGTACCAACATGTACCAACCATCCTATCATCAACCTTGTCCCAATCAGGTTCGTTGATTGATATATACCTTTTGCTAACCCACCGACCGAACACCGGGAATTCTTCTAAACTTCAACAGTTCCACCAACCCCGTCATGAACCAAGCTGCCATGCTCACTTCTGGGCCGCTGCTCGAGAGACCACAGCTCAGCCAAATGGGCAACATCATCGAAACGGCGATGTTTGAAGCTACTGGTGGTGGGCAAGCTGTCCTGCACTACCGATAACCCCAAAATGTCTAGTCCACCTTCATCCGCTATAAGCACAACAAGACCCTGCGGACCATGTTTGGGCACTAGAAATGAACCGTTTGTTCCCTGAAAAAGTGGCCATACCTAAGATCATCCAGGTGTCCAATAGGTGTTGAATGGACGCCCATGTAGATTGTCTGTCATCTAGATTATGATTATACATGATTATACAATTCACTTCATTCATTAAGCCTTTAATATTTATATCTGGTTTGTGCTGAGGTTGCCGGGCCATCGCCAGGTCCGGCAAAAGTCTAAACCAGTTGAAACAGGAAAAGAGGAGACATCAATGCCATCGCAGCTGGTCACCATCTGTCCAAAACTATCCAAAGACCCTCAACCAAATCGATTACACCCGGGAAGATTAACATGGAACTTGAAAATGGCTCTTTGGAAATCTTTGGAAGAGGATGTTCCTCTACAACCCAGAGGTTTTCAGGTTTCATGTGGGTCTCTTCTTCCTCGTACTGCGACAAGAATGTCGTGCTTCACCGTCGCATCATCCTGCCACGTCCTTCCGGGACGGGGAACACACGGAGACCGACGCGCCACGTACCGACGCCGAACCGCCGAACAGGGGGAGACCCGTGAGACACACGACGTGCCGCAGTGAGGGGGCCCCAGGTTCGACGAAAGTAGGGGAAATGACTATGACCCATTTTTGTTCATGTCCGGTTTGCACTTCCTATAGGGTATTGAACACGCGATGCCTAGGCATGGATCCAAAGGAATCCGAGCCTTCCCCTTCTTCTTCCCTATTTACTTTCGTCG